GAGGTGCTGCCTGCTCATATATGGGCAGGAGTGGGGAGCCTGGAAAGTGTGACTCAAGGCTTGGGCCCGGCCTCGTCTTGCCGTGTTTGTGCCTGTCTTCAGGGGCATCCCAGCTGGCGCTGGAGCTGCTGTTCCCCCTGGCTCGTGCAGCACCAGCACACCGGAGCCCAAACAATGGCTTTATAAGGGCAGAGCCGCTCTGCTCGTGCTGCTGCTGGTTTGCCATCATCCCTTAAGCTGGGGGTGGCAGATGGCCTTGGTTGCTCAGGCCGGGGCTTTCCTGAAGGCTCTGAGCGTGGCCCCTGCGCCCCTCTTCCCAGGGCAGCCAAATCGAGCTGTGGCCAGTGCTGGCCAGGCTTTGGAGCCCACAGGCTCCAGCACAGCAGAGGCTCCGTGGGAGAGCTGGGACTGGGGGGCGCAGGAACAGGGTCCTGGCAGAGCTCTGGGGCAGGAGGTTCTCCTTGGCCCTTGTGCTTCCCAGGGAGCTGGCATCAGCTGTGGGTCCCTGTCCTTTCTCAGCTGGGGTAGGCTGTGCTGGAGGTCTGAGGTGTGCAGCGGAGTTACTGCAGCCTGGAGAGCTGGGGGAGAGGGCTTGGGGGGAGCTGGTGTCTGGGCTTTGGAGCCTCCCTGTGCTCAGAGCTGTCTTGTGCACCCTGTCACTGGGGCTGAGCCTCTGCCGCAGGTGGCACCAGGGCTGGAACAGCTGGGCTGGCCATGCCCTCAGTGGGCACTGCCAGTTAGCCACCAAGCAGCCCATGCCCTGAGTGCTCTGACACTGTCTGTCCCTGGCAGGGGCGCAGGGGCCGCGTGTGAGAGGTGGCAGCAGTGGCAGGGTTGGGTTGCTTCTGCACCATCCCTCACCAGTCAAATGAGAGGGGACAGAGGTACCAGGTCCCCTCCAGGCCCTGCCTGGCTGTTGCAGCGACCACCCCAAACCATGCTCCAGTTTCCTCAAGCTGGATCCTCCTGGTTGCTCCGAGAGCACCAGTGTGGGGAGAGGGATGGCACCCAGGGAGTTGGGTGGGTGGTGTGGGCAGAGTGAGAGCAGGGCCCGGAGGCTGCAGAGGTGGAGGGAACAGCTATGGCTGCTCTGCCACGGCCCCACAAGGTTTGTAGCTGATGGCACAGGGCCCTGCACAGACCCTGGCACTGCTCTGGGGCCAGGCTAGGAGGAGGTAGGGACAGGCCAGAGCTGAGCTTGTTGAAGGTGAAACTTGTTGAGGCTGAAGCTTGTTGTGCAGGCAGGTCATTCCCTACAGTGTACCAGCATCAGCTGGAGGAGGAGCAGGGTGGGCACAGCTTGAGCAAGGGGTGACTTCCAGCATCCAGAGCTGGGAGACAGAGTAGCAGGGGGGCGAGGGGTGTGGGCAGGCAGGCACCTCCTCATCGCAGGCATCACACACTCCAGTGCCAGGAACAGAACTATGGGGACAGGGATGTTCAGGAGCTGAGCGGGGCTGAGGGCAGTGGTGCTGAGCACCTGGGCAGCACACATTCCCCCATCCCAACACCCACCCCTGGCCATGCTGAGGGCTACATCTCCACAGGGCGCTGGTGGACTGTGTGCCCCTGGTGGAAGTGGAAGACATGATGATCATGGGGAAGAAGCCAGACTCCAAGTGCGTCTTCACCTATGTGCAGTCCCTCTACAACCACCTGCGTCGCCACGAGTTGCGCATGCGGCAGAAAGAGTGCTAGAGCCCACCCTGCCCGCGCCCCCTGCCCTGGGGGCTGCTGGTGGGCGGGATAGCTGCCTGGCCCAGGAAGGTCTCGGGGGTACCACGGGAGGTAAACCGGGGGCGCACTGCCGCCAGGGCAACCCCCACGCCACTGCCTCCCTGGAGCCCCCTCTGCCATGGCTGACGGCATGGGCAGGGTCAGGCAGGCGCTGCCAGGGGTGCTGCTCACCTGGGCTTGCCTCCTGCGCTCCAGCCTAAGTTATTTGTTCTCCAGTTGTTTGTCCTGTGGGCAGCACCCCTTCATCCCTGGGGAGGCCCGGGCCCAGCTCTGCCCCTGGACCCAGGGCTGGTGTGGGTTGGTAGCCAAGCAGGCTTGTGCAGGCCAGCCTGGGCCAGAAGTGGTTCTCCTCGCCCCCCTGTGAGGGAGCCCCTCTGCCCACTGCAGGCCCTGCTTGGTGCCACCTCCCTGGGGATAGCCCCATGGCACTGTGCACTCTGCTTCCCACTGCACGCACGTACCCTGGGGTGCGTCCACACTGGGGAGGGTGCAGCACCCGTGTGCTGCGGAGCAGAAGGGGAGGCAGGGGGTCCCAGGGGAGTGAGGGGCCCAAGGAACGAGCCAGGATGGCAACCACCACTCTCCTCCCCAGCTCAGGGCACCTCAGGGCAACTCAGCGCTGCTCGCCCCTCCATCACTGTCTCTACACCCACGTTGACACGTGTACCAACACCAGCCAGACAATAAAAGTTTATACTCTGGGGTGATGCCTCTGCCTCGCGTTCTTCTCCCTGGCTGTACCACGGCTTCATGTTTCCAGTGCAGCACATACCACAGCACCCAGGGGTGCTGGCAGCCCTGCCTGCTCCTGGGCCCCTCTCCCTGTAGCCCCACTGCTCGCCTGGACATGGGAGATGCAGGACACGTGCTGTTCTACCTGCTCGGGGACAGTGCTCTTCTGCTGACTCCTTCCCTGATACAGAATGATGTTAATGGTCAGACCAGCAGCCAAACACCTCCCTCTGCTGCCACGTCATACACCGAAGATGCAAAGTGCTGGGCAGCCGAAGGGAGGAACAAATCGATGCACTCACCCACCGCAGGGGACGTGAGGATGGGAGCGAGCTGGCCCAGATGGGGTCGAGCTGGCCCAGGAGCCAAGCCCTGAGTCCAGTTAGATAGCAGGGACTCGAGAGACAGCTTCATGTTCTGGCCCTGCCATCCTGGAGACTCCACTTGCTGTCAGGAGTCAGAGAGCCCTTCCAACAGCCAGAATAGCACATACACTGTGAGCAAACCTCCCAACCCCACTGCCAGCAGAGTCAGCTCTTATAGAGATGGCTCCTTACCCCAACTCCAAGTTAATGTGGAAGGTGAGGGCACTTAGTGGTGATCTCCTCATCAGTTCCCACTCAAGGCTGGCCAGACCCTGGGTGAAAACCAATCAGAAGGACCTTTCTTGCCTGGTTGTGGACATCATCCATATGCCAACACTCATTCAGGGCTGGGGGTTTAAACCCCAGCACTTCAGATGCCAAGTGCTGAGGGGCATCATCAGCATCCCACTGCCCAAGGATTGTTGATCTGCTGCCCCCCATCACTCCTAGGCCTGGCACGGGGAGCAGACTCCACGCTGCCACCAAGGCTGTACAGAGCCAGGTCTGCAGATGTCACAGCTGCACCCTGTGCCCTTCCCTGCCTAAGGCCAGCTCAGCCACTGGGCTTCAGCTCACCCCCTGCAGGACCCGCTCGTGGGCTCACGCCTGTCCCCCAGCATCCCACGAGAGCAGCTCATCCCAAGCTGTGGTGCCCCATCCATCCATCCATCCATCCATCCATCCATCCATCCATCCCACCAGAGAGGTGCTGGCACAGGCCCAGTGCTGTTGGTCCACAGGACAGTTTGTCAGCTCCCCGGCAGAAGCCGTGACCCTGCTGTCCCCTCGTGCCTGGGGCACCCAGCTCCTCCCAGCACAGAGCGGCATGGGATGCACCCCACCGAGCCCTTCCTGGACAGATGACACTGCAGCTGATTGTACGAGGGGGCTTTACTGGGGGCTCAATATGAGACAACCCTGCTGGGGTGTAAAGCCACATCCCCCTGGGGGCAGCTCTCCCACCTCTGGGACCTAGCACATCTACCCTCAGCACCTGGGGCTTTCTGCTGAGGGCTTCATCCTGTCCCACGCAGGTAGGATGCTGCTGCCCGGCACTGGGATTCAGCTAAACCTTGGAGCACGGTGAGAGAGCACAACGAACCCTGGTCCTCTTGCACATCCAGTGATGCTGGGCTGCAGGGAGGAAAGGGCAATGACAGGCACATGGGACCCCTGGAATGTCCATGATGCTCAGGAAGCCCCTGCTCAAGGCCAGAGGTGCTCAGGGCATCCTTGGGGCAGAGGCTACACAGCACCAAACAACGGTGGGGGACACCTCTGCCACCCTGCAACACTGTCCCCAGCTGCTGTAACACTGGGGGCTGGCTGCAGGACCCTCTCCAAGCGTGACACCCCTCCCTAAAGGTCCGGGTGTTCTCCCTTGTCACGTTCAGGTTGGGTCCTGCTGTCAGTGGCAGGAGCTTGGTGGGGCAGCAGGGTAGGCAGAGGCCTGGCAGGGGCAAACTGGAACTCCTCAGGCACGGGGGAATCCGGTGTCTCCTTGCGGTAGAAGCCGAGCTCCTGCACCAGCTGGTTGATCTCCTCCCGGGTCATGTCGCTCAGGGGGATTCTCTGCATGCAGACAGGACAGCAGGCTGGCATCTGTGGGGCAGCGACCACCCCAGAGCCTGCTCCGGCAGCGGGGGCAGTGCTACTCACTCACCTCCAGCTCCTCGTATCGGTAGCTGAGGAGCACAAGCTCGGGGTCAGCACCAGGCAGGTGTTTCATCTCCAGGTTATGGCTGGGTGGTGCGCTAAGGCATGGACAGTACTAGCCAGGCCCCCCCATTCCATCCTGCACTCCATCACATCCCACTCACTCCCACCCCATCCTGTTCTGTCCCCATCCCATCTCATCCCCCATTGCATCCCATCCCGTCCTGTCCCATCACATTTCATCCCACCTGTTGCCCACCCATCCTGTCCTTCACCCCTCATCTAATCTCCTCCTCCAACTCAACCCACCCCTCAGCCCATCCCATCCCTCATGCTGTGTGTCTCACCCTGCCCTACATCCCATCCCACCTAGTCCTGCCCTGTCCA